TTTCTTGTGCATTTCCTTCCAAGATTGTCCTTCCTCAACCATGTAAAAGAAAGGTATCTCATCTGGATGGCCCAGTGACTTACTAAATGTACCCTGGTGGTCATTCAAGAGATTGGTTATTCTCCATTTGTTAAATACATAGTGGCTATACTACTTCCCAGATTGATAATATCACAAACGTACTTAACTTTTTGAGCCTCAGCTTTCTCATCTGTAAAATAAGATTCATAACAGCCATTGTGAGGTTTAAAAGAGGTAATATGTCATAAAGCAACCGTTATAATGCCTGACCAAGTATTCATATTGATATATAGCACTTGTCATGTTATTTCTGTTGTTTTTTCTATGTTAATGTTCTATAATCTGTATTTCTTTTTTTTTATTAGTTTCAGGTGTACAGAACAATGCAATAGTTACCCTTTTCATCCCTCATACAGAAACAACCCCCCTCCCCAATCTACTGCCCTCCCACCCCAATATCATACTTATCTGTTACAATCCAAGAAGAAGGAAATTGTACCATTTGCAATGATATGGATGGACCTAGAGAACATCATGCTAAGTGAAATAAGTCAGTCAGAGAAAGACAAATACCATATGATCTCTCTTATACGTGGAATCTAAAAAACTGAATAAATGAGAAATGTAAACAGAAATGTAAAAAGAGGAAAAACTGAGGTTGCTAGTAGGGAGGGGGTGGGGATGAAGGAGAAGGGGAAGGGACGAGACAATACAAATTGATAACTACAATATGGCCTCAGGGATAGACAAGACAGTCTGGGGAATATAATCAATGATGTTGTAAATATATTTTAGGGGACCAGTTGGACTCATGTCTTGTTAGGGAGACCACTGCATTGTCGGTGTAGAGGCCTGACCACCACACTGTATTTCTGAAGCTGATGTTGAATAATATTGTATGTCAACTATAATTATACATACATATAGTCACGAGATGTGGGTTAGAGTGTGGGAATGGACTCATTGGAATTATAATCTGTATTTCAAAACACAATTTTTATGCCTTTAGTGTGGTGGGTGGTAAGGAGATAGTTAAGCTAATTTGTCTCCTTGACTATGTTTCACAGTCCCTTTTAGGATTTACTTTAGAAATGAAAATGTTAATTCACACCACTAGTCAGCATGGACGGCTACTGAACATCTTCCTTAGACATTTATTAAACTAGGATAGTTGAAGCAGAATATGACTCTGATAGAAGTTTCTTCATATGAGGATTAATGCCATCTTTGTTGCAATTTGGGTCACTTATTTGACAGGAATTCTAAATAGAGCAGACTGCTCAAAATTTCATATTGAATTTTACCTTGAGGACTTTCAGAAGTTTATTTAAATGATAGTTTGGCAGAGTTATCAAAAAGATATGATAGCTCCTGAAAACAGTAATTGCTTTGGCTGCCCTGCAGGGTTACCAGATAATAGACTGTATTGGATTTGCAGAGTTGGCCAGAGAGCTCTAGTAGAAATGAGGTTCACAGGAGAAACAGGGTTCTCCCCAAGTGGGAAGCACAGTTCCGCTATCAGCCCTTCAGTCCCAGTTAATAGTTTGTTTTGTTTTGTTTTATAAACATTGTGGATAAATTTTTAAAAATTATTTGTATTTTGGTATTTTGGTATTTCCTTTTTTTATATTTAAAATTTGGTGGAGATTTTTGAGTATCTATGAAGTTGAGTTTTAATATTTAGAAAAAAATGCTAATAACAGCTAATCATTAATGCATGTCTGCATATGAGTTTAACTAGATTTTTTGTAGATGTTCTTCCTCAGGTAGTAGAAGTTCTCTTCTATTCCTCGCTTGCTGAGAATTTTTTTTTTAAACAGGAATGGACATTGTAATTTGACAAATAGCTTTTCTTTGTCTATTAAGATAATATTATACTTAATGCAGTCAGTTACATTGATATTTGAATATTACTCCTATCTTCATTTCTGGACTAAACTCCATTTGGTCATGATGTATAATTCTTCCTGTAGATTGCTGGATTTGATGTGCCAAATTTTTTTTTTATAATTTTTGCATCTATGTTTATGAGGGGTATTTGTAGTTTTCTTCTTTTATAATATCTTTGGTTTTGGTAAGTTGGATCAGTTCTATGTCTTCAATTTTCTGGTAGAGTTTGTGTAGAATTAATATGATTTGTTTTTTAAATGTTTGATAGAATTCACCAGGGAAGCCAATTGGACCTGGAGTTTTCTTTGTGGGAAAATACTTAACAACAAATTCAAACTCATTTGGGTTATCTGTTTTTTCTGGAGTGACTTTTGGTAGTTTGTGTCTTTCAGGAAATTGGTCCTTTTCATTTAAGTTGTCAAATGTATAGGTATAAAGTTTTTCATATTTTCTTTTTTTCCTTCAATTGAATTTGAAATGATGTCACCCCTCTCATTACTAACAGCTGGTGATTTGTGTAATTTGTGTCATTCTTTTATGATCAGTCTGGCTAAGAGCTTATCAATTTTATTAATCCTCTTAAAGGTCCAACATTTGCTTTCATTGATTTTTCTATATATTTTTTTCTTTTCTCTTGCATTCTCTGACCTTCTCTGGGTTTTTCTTTTCTGTACTCTGGGTTTAATTTGTTCTTTTTTTTTAGTTTTTAAGATGGAAACTGTTTAGTTATTTAAGAGCTTTCTTCTTTTCCAATGTAGGCATTTAGTTCTATAAATTTCTCGCTATGTCCTACTTTAGTGATATTACAAAATTTTTGATATGTTATGTTTTTTTCATTCAGTTAAAAGTACTTCTAAATTCCTTTTTGATTTCTTCTTTAACACAGAGTGTTATTTATAAGTGTCCTCTTTAGATTTCAAATATTTGGAGATTTTTCAGATATCTTTCTATTACTAATTTCTAATTTAATTCCAGAGAATAAACTTTATATGACTTAACTCTTTTTAAATTTATTGAGACTTCTTGTATAGCCTGAAATATGGTCTATTTTGGTTAATGTTGTATGTGCACATGAAAAAAATATGTATTCTTTTTTGTTCTATAAGTATCAATTAGGCCAACTTGATTGATGATGGACTTCAAATCTTCTATATCATTGCTGACTTTCTGTCCACATGTCCTATCAATTCCTTAAGAGAGATGTGTATCAAAATCTGTTTCAGTTGTGGTTTTGTTTTTTTTCTTCTTGCATTTCTGTCAGTTTCTGTTTTGTATATTTTTAACTCTCTCATTATGTGTGTAAACATTTTGAATTATGTCCTCCAGATGAAATGACCTCTTTGACATTATGAAATGAACTTTATCTCAGAAATCTACTTTGTCTGATATTAATATAGCCACTCTAGCTTTCTTTTGACATGTGTTAAGTTTTCATCTTTTTAATTTTAACTTACTGATGTCTTTATATTTAAAGTGTATTTCTTATAAACAGAATATATTTCTTATTTTTTATTTAATAGGACAATCTGTGTTTTTTACTCAAGTATTTAGGCTGACATTTAAATTGATTATTTATACGGTTAGGTTTGAGTCTATTATCTTGCTATTTGTTCCATATGTTCATCAATGTTCCATCTGTTCTTTGCTCCCATTTTCCTAGTAATGCCTTCTTTTGGATTAATAGACAATTTTGCATGATTTTAGTTTAGATCTCTTGTTGGTATATTAGGTATAACTCTTTGTTTTATTATTTTAGTGGTTATTTTAGGTTTATTGCTTGTACCTTATTGCCTTCAAGTAATATTATACCACTTCACTTATCATTTGAGAACCTACAATTATATTCTTCTACTTCTTTCTTCTGGCCTCTATGCTCTTTTTGTTATATATTATACTTATACCTATATGATAAGCCAAATAAGATCTTGTTGCAATTATTAATGAATCAATTATATTGTAAATAAATTTAAGTAATAAAAAATATATAATATATGTACTTGTGTAGTTACCATATCTAATGCTCTACATTCCTTTATATAGATCCATCTTGCTATGTGGGCTCATTTTTTTTCTGCCTAATAGACTTTTTTTGAAAAAGAAACATGTAGTTTGGTCTGTTGGTGATAAGTTATGTAGCTTTTGAAAGTCTGAAAACATCTTCATTCTACCTTTGCTTTGGGGGGATATTTTGGCTGGACATAGAATTCTGGGTTGTCAGTAGTTTTTCTTTCACCACTTTAAAAATGTTGCTCTACTGTCTTCTCACTTACATTATTTTGGATGAGAAATAATACTGTCATCCTTATCTTACTTCCTTTGTATATAACATATAAACTATTAAAATTATTCTATAGATAAACTTCTTACAGATAACTGAGACTAGGCTATTAGGACAATCAGCCCTAGGCAAAATCATGACTTAGGCCACATTTCTGTTTGTATGTCCTACCATCTGCAGTCCCTTCCGATCCCTTATCATTTTCTGTGGCCCATTAATGACCAAGTCTCACCACCTAATCCCAATAAACCATCATACTATGATAATTGCTAACTTTTTGAGCACTTACTTTGTGCCAGGCATTCTGCATAGAGATGTATACAGATTATTTAAATTTAACTTTCACAATTGCTTTAGTGGTAAGCACTATCACTAACTTAATTTATAGCTGAAGAAACTATAGTTGACATTAATCAACTTGTGCATACTCAAGCTTGATGTAGTGGGACTCACATCTGATTAACGCATGGTCGTATTACCACTCCTCTGTCTAGATGCTTAACGCCTGCCTCCTCAGATCTAAATGGTCCATCTTTTTCTGTAAACTTAGAGCTATTTTCTCTCCTTACAGTGGAGTAATAGTGGATTATTTCAGCAAACTAATCAATGCTAATCTTTTAACCCTTATTGAGAAATAGTTTCCTTCATTAACAATTAAAATATGTAGAACATGACAAGGACTCTGTCAAGCTGCTAGGAGAGCAGAGTAGGGCAGATTGCTGTAGAAACAGATATGTAAGGATCTATTCATCCTTTTAACACTCACAGTGAACTACTGTTGATCTCCTCATGATGTGTTTCCATTACTCAGTGCCTTGCTACGTGGGAGTCCTTCCTTACATCACAGACGGACCTCCACTCTGAAGAAGACTCTGAAGATAAAACTTAATCCCATTAAGGACTTCTGTGTGATCTTTGGGAGATAGCATCTATTAACCAAAGTTACTCTTTCTGGATGGGCTGTATCCTTTATAAAGTGGATGAAAAATATTTCACAATATCTGGAAAACCAGCAACTTGAGACTCAGGTATTCCAGATCATTGATATGAATTGGGAAATTATATATATATATATATATATATATATATATATATATATATATATATATATATATGTAAAATTTAGCTTAGTTTTAATTATGTCCTTAAATTTGTACGTCAATAATTACATTTAGAATTTTTTTTTCTTAAATATTTGTCTGTGGAATGTGTCACTTTAAATATATTGTAAAGATTAAGTTTTAATAAAAAGTTTAATACGAAATGACTGACTGTGGTGTGTTCTTTTTTTACCAGTAGCTCAAGCCTCTGAAGCAGAGTCTAATATGAATTCAGCATATATTAACAAGTATATTATGCCTTCACCTTTATTTCATCATAATTCTCTCTGAAATACTATTCACTTTGACATTAGGAATTTGAAGTAAAAAAAAAAAGATTTAATATTATTAAATATTAATGGTAAATGTTAAAAGTTAACTAATTGTTTTTCACAATTTTTTTAAAAAGTTACCAAGATAGATTTAAATGACTATTTGAGTTATTAGTTAGAAATTTTTATACAGTCACATTCCTACTAGTAAATTGTTTTTGGTATTTTTCGCAGTTTTTGCAACTCATATCTAGCTTTTACTTTTACTGTATACAGTGCTTATCAAATTTATTCTCTTTATTAAATGTCTACTATTTGTAAGGCACAACTGTAGGTTCTTATGATCTATAGTGATAAAAAGACACTACACTCACTTCATTCTTGAGAGTTCTAGAAATATTGTTCATGCAGACTGATATTTTATTCATTTTATGGCTATATTTAAAAACTGAATATATTTTATTCATTTTATGGCTATATTTAAAAACTGAATATATTAATTATTTAATATTTGCTAATTTTGGGGAATAAATATTTGTGAAGACTGAGTAAAGTTTGAGGAATTGGGTCATGCATATTATATTACATGAATGACTGAGTTATCTGGGTATTAATACTTAAATGAGTGTCACACACAAAAAAACTAGACATAAAGCATTTTAACTAAATCAAGAGATATACAAGCGTATATATAAATATAAAACTAAACATTTTTCTTAAATACTGGCATGTATAATTTTTAAACTGTTTGCAATAAAGAATCTGGCTCCATTTTCAATGTTTGAGTTAGAGCTTTTAAGCCTCACCTCTCCCTTTTCCTCTCCTGCCCCACATTTGGGCAAGCTGCTGAGAAAGCCACAGTACTCCCTCGTTGGGCACTGAGAAGAAGTTGCAACCATACAGCCCCCTGTCTGCATGTAATTTTTCATCACCCCCAAAAGACACCCCATGCCTTTTGTTTATCACTTCCTGCTCCCCCCACTATTTCCTCAGGCCTAAGGAACCACTAATTTGCTTGCTGTCTCTATTTGCCCATCTAGGTTTGCCTGTTCTAGATATTTCATATTAATAAAATTGTATAATATGTGATCTTTTGTGACTGCCTTTTTTCACCTAACATAAAGCTTTCAAGGTTCATCCTTGTTGCAGCATTTGTGAGTACTTTGTTCCTTTTGATGGCCCAAAACATTCCATTGTATGGATAGATCACATTTTGTTTATCCATTATGTTTGTTTATCCTTGCATTGATAGACATTTGGGTTGTTTTCAACTTTGGCTATTATGAATAATGCTGCTATAAAAGTTGGTGTGTACTTTTTTGTGTGAACATATATTTTCATTTCTCTTGGTCCTATACCTAGCAGTGAAATTGCTGGGTCATATCGCAACTATTTAAACCATTTAAGCAGCTGCCAGACTGTTTTCTAAAGTGGCTGCACCATTTTATATTCTTACCAGCAGTATATAAGGGAGCTGATTTCTCCAGATCCTCACCAATGCTTGTTATTTTCTGTTTTTTCTTTTTCTTTTATGATAGCCATCCTAGTGGATGAAGTGGTATCTCATTGTTGTTTTGATTTGCATTGCCTATTGAATCTTTTCATGTGCTTATTAGCACATGAACTCTATACCCATTTGTATAGATTATTTGGAGAAATGTGTATTGAGGTCTTTTGTTCATTTTTAAAGTTAGGTTATTTGTCTTTTTATTGAGTTGTAAGAATTATTTATATGTGTATATTCTAGACACAAATCTCTTATCAGATTATATTTTACAAATATTTCTTTTCAATTTCTTGATAATGTACTTTGAAGGATAGAATTTCTAATTTTGATGAAGTTCAATATATCTAATTTTTCTCTTGTTGCTTATGCTTTTGGTGTCATATCTAAAAATTCATTGCCAAATCTGAGGTTATGCAAATTTACTCATGTTTTCTTCTAAGAGAGTTTTAGGATTTAGGACTTTGACCCAAATTGAATTAATTAGTGCATATTATGTGAGGGAAGGGCCAAATTTCCACTTGTCCCAACACTATTTGCTGAAGAGACAATGAGGTATGACAATTAAGTTTGCAAACTTGTGCAATGATGTTGCTAACCTTTTTTGATATCAGAGGGATTATTCATTATGAATTTGTACCAACTGGACAAACAGTTAACCAAGTTTACTATTTGGAAGTGCTGAAAAGGCTGCATGAAAAAGTTAGACGACTGGAAATTTTCGCCAACAATTCATGGCTGTTGCATCATGACTGTGCACCAGCTCACACGGCGCTGTCTGAGGGAGTTTTTAGCCCGTAAACAAATAACTGTATTGGAACACCCTCCCTACTCACCTGATCTGGCCCCCAATGACTTCTTTCTTTACCTGAAGATAAAGGAAATATTGAAAGGAAGACATTTTGATGACATTCAGGACATCAAGGGTAGTAGGATGAAAGCTCTGATGGCCATTCCAGAAAAAGAGTTCCAAAATTACTTTGAAGGGTGGGTTAGGTGCTGGCATCAGTGCATGGCTTCCCAAGGGGAGTACTTCGAATGTGACCACAGTGATATTCAGCAATGAGGTATGTAGCACTCTTTCTAGGATGAGTTTGCAAACTTAATTGTCAGAACCTAAATGTCTTATAATTGTCACCACTGGGGAACAGATCCTAGAAGCATCTTATGTTGTCACCCTGGAAGTGGAACTCCTGGTATAGCTTTCTTGAACTGGTTGTGATGTGTGCTGTGATGATTGTTGTTAGGAATATAAAATGTGATTGTCAGTTACCTCGTCATAAAAAGCTTGTTAACAACAAAATAACATATTTGACTTTTACTGAAAAGAACTATCCTAGAGCTTACATGTATTTTTCATTCAACACATGCCTCCTTTTATTTATTTATTTTTATTATTGTTTTTTTTAATTGGGGAATTGGGGGATGGGAACAGCGCTGGGGAATTGGGGGAAGGGGAACAAACAAGTTGCTGTCCTTTTGTTCTTCAGTCTAGTTGTGGAGGACGTCGCTTCACTGGCCCATGTTGGCACCATCATTGCACTCTCGCCGGGCAAGGCAGATCAGTCACCGGCTTCTGGACGGCCGCTCACGCTGGCTGCTGGCCGCTCATGCTGGCTGCTGGCTACACACGGTAGCCCATGGCAACCCACTGCAGCAGTGGCTGCAGCCTACGCTGTTGCTGTTGCAGTCGCTGGCGACTCACGGCAGCCCAGCTCCAGGTTGAGCTGTTGTTCAGCATCTTAGCTGTAGAGGGCAGTGTCACTGGCCCTCATATGTGGGATCCGAACCGGGGCCCTCTGGCATCCCAAACCAGCTCTTAACCAACGCGCCATTCGGCCGGCCCAACACATGCCTTCTTTTAATAACTGCTTCCCAAAACACAGATTTCCTACTATTCAGTTAGTTTTCCCTCAAGAATAGTTATAAACTAATCAAGAAAACTGTCCTAATTTTTATTTAAAAACCAGATGTAGAGTTACAGCAACGGGAACCATGAACAGCCTAACTTAGAGAGAAATGAAAGTTGCCTTGATACAGATTCTTTCTGGCAGCACATTTCTTGGGTAAACTCTTAGGGTCATTAAAGGTAGATTTAAATTCTGAGCATACTGTTAAAAAAAAAAAAACATTTTAGCATTTAAAATTCTGAACTTGTTAAGTATTACAGGCCCCAATTTTCCATCTGTGAAAAGGGAAATTCGTCTGCCCGATCTACATTGCTGGGAAATACAAGAACAAATTATACACAGCTGACTTGACTATTTACTTTGACTAAAAAAATAAGTATTAAATTCTACATCAGCTTCCCCTTGTCCCCACCCCATACTTGAAACTTCCAGACCATCCATGAATTCAGAGCTAAAGTAAGCTAATGTTCATAGTTACTAAGATATATTAAGAAAGGTTCAGAATATGATGCATATGTGTGAGTATATATAGATATAGGTGCATATTTAAGTTTCTATTTATGTACACAGGTGTGTGTATGTGCATGTGTGGTGTGTGAATGTGTAGCAGTTAGTGGAAACACATGAATTAGAAATCACTGGAACATAAAGCCTACTGCATGCCTACTATTGCTTATCCTCCTCCCTTCTCATGCATTACAATTCCCTCAGGTTTGAAAATGTATTTATGTTCGTGTTCATAAGGTTATTGAACAGTGAGATCCTTCCAAATGGGACAGCTGTGTGTGTGTGTGTGTGTGTGTGTGTGTGTGTGTGAGACCACATTAGTTGGTGTAACTGTTTAAGGCCATAATTACATATGTTCCAAAGGGAAAAATTGAACTTTCACAGTTCCTATTTATATTTCTCTTAATGTAAGTCACGGAGATTGAAGAGATTGTTTATATTTTTTTATTCTAAAATGTGACAGGATAATCTTTTGGTAAGATCAGAAGAACAATGCTTTCTTATTTTAAGGCAAATCATCTCAGAACATGCAATTTAAATAGCTAATCAGAGCTAGTTAAATGAGGCATTTGATAATTATGAATAAAAGATTTTCTCTTCCTACTTGAAGTATTATGAATACTGATTTTAAGATTACATTATTATTGTTTTAAGTGGTTTATTTGAACAATCAGAGATTCTAAAATCTTTTAAAACTCTTTACATTCAAATATCACCATCCATGCATCCACTCATGCAGTAATTCACTAATTCCACAAATATTACACTGCTAATAGGTGCCACACA